CGTATTAAATGTGTGGATATTATCGAGAAATTCATATTAAATTACTTCATCTGTGGCTCAAAGGTTGACGACTATATGAATGGCATTCAAAACAAATTCAAACACTTTGTAATGTTTTTGGCAAAAATAATATTACTTATTCAGGGCTTGAGATTTGCCATATCGGGTATAATCAACAAACAGTACGTAAGGGGACTGTTATGCGACTCATTTTACTTGTATGGAAATCCAATGTTATGGTCAATAATGGGAAGTATGTCTGCATTTGTAGTATTGGCGATATTGGGTACGGCTCAATACAAAGAGTATAATAATAGTCTAAAATGGTTACCATTTTTCTATGATCTCAAACATAACCAATTAACACTCCCAATAAATGCAGATAATTCTCAGAAACTACTGTTCCGGACAAGCATACTGGCCAAGTATTATCTGAATCAGTTGTATTGGGCACTAGTAGTGGTTTCTAATGGATACATCATATATGCATCAATTACGGCATACTTGGATCCAAACTCGGGGTTCACTATAATAGGTATCCTATTGTGGAGCCCCTGTACCCTAATCTGGAGCCTACAGTTCTACTCAATCTGTTTATATGTTCATGAATATTTGTTTATATTACTGGTTAATATATTTTTATGATAACTTACTTTCAAACCCATAGACCGAGTGTTCATGAATTTATGGCACATTTTAGTAAAACTAGTCAATCGATGAACGCTAGAGAATTGGTGTCATTTTTATAAAATGAGGTCTTAAATTAAGTATCAGTAAGGGCTTCGTTTATGTACCGTAAGTTACACAAGCGGTAACTATACTTCAAAAAGAAAAGTAAAAATCCAAGTCAGTAATGCAAGTGACAATTGTTAATTCAGTTGTTAAACACGTAAATGTATACAAGTTTTATAGTAGAAGTAAAATCAACAATTAGAAATCAATTGTCTGTATAAGAAATATTGTTTAGTTGCACGGTACAATTAAACTGCGTGCCACTTATAATTATTCTTACTATAGGTAAAAATTATAAATTAATAATAAAACAAAAAATAATAAAATCAAAATCATTCAAATATAAGTAATTACAGTTCATATCAAGATGTATTATTAATTAGAAATCAATAGTCTGAATAAGAAATAGTTTATAATTTATGATTTTGAATAGTTTAATATAATATACAGTACAGCAAGAAAATGTATAGCAATAAATGAATTATAGTAATATTAAAACAGTACATGTATTAGTATGCTTTAATAATATAGATGTAGTTATTGAATAATTATTGAGTTTATTTGTTCTCAAATCAATAATTTATAAATAAGTTTCTATCATTTATTACACAGATTGCATATATTCAAAATTGATTTATATTTCACTTGTGTTTGTGTTTAAATATAAAACCTTTTTATTGAAAACATACGAATGATATTTTGTGATTTTGTTTTCATTATTAATGTGCTTGACTATACTAACTATAGCAAAACAGTTTATAAACATATTTCATTAGTTAACAAAGATACAATATGGCAATTTATAGAAATAGTTTTGTTTGTAGTTATTGGACCATTTAATTAATTAATAATTATTACATATTATTAGTACTTATGCTCTGTGAGCTCCGCTATGTATTTACTCTAATTAGAGTTCTTATTTATGTGTCTTAAACAAGTGTTCTTAACACTAGCATAATTTACACACCTATAATAGCTCTTTAAGCAATTAAATTATTTCATCTGGGGCTCAAAAGTTGACGACTATATGAATGGCATTCAAAACAACTCCAAACACTTTGTAATGCTTTTGGCAAAAACAATATTACTTATACAGTGCATAAGGTTTGCCATATCGGGTTTAATCAACAAACAGTACGTAAGGGGACTGTTATGCGACTCATTCTACATGTTTGGCAATCCCGTGCTATTCTCAATAATGCTAAGTATATCTGCATTTGTAGTCCTGGCCCTTTTGGGTACCGTTCAATACAAAGAGTATAATAATAGTCTAAAATGGTTACCATATTTCTATGATCTCAAACACAATCGACTACCACTTCCATTAAATTCTCACAATTTACAAAAACTACTGTTCCGGACAAGCATACTGGTCAAGTATTATCTGAATCAGTCGTATTGGGCACTGGTAGTGGTTTCTAATGGATACATAATGTATGCATCAATTATGGCATACTTGGACCCAAACTCAGAGTTTACAATAATTGGTATCCTATTGTGGAGCCCCTGTACCCTAATCTGGAGCCTACAGTTCTACTCAATCTGTTCATATGGTGTTGTGGTTTCATATGTGATCATAGCTTATATTTCGTTCAAATTTCAAGAAATCAATGATAATATCGTTAAAAGTCTGAAAACCAAAAACTATTCACTGCTTAAGAGATCAATGACTGAACACATGATTCTCACGGAATATACGGCACAACACAACGAGATTACAAAATACATCATATTTTATATCTACTATTTCGGGACCCCTGCCATTGAAATGCTATTGTATATCACGTTTGGAACGGGAACACCTTATCATGTCCGTTTTTGCACAGCATTTATATTTTCATTACTCATTTTTGTAGTATATATAATCAATTTAATATACGCGTGGCAGACATCCTATGCCCACAAACCCTATGCTATTATGTATTCATTTATGACTAGAGATCATAGGTTTCCCACAAATATGAGACTTAATGTTATGGAGTTTATCGAACGACTGGCCGGAAGTCATATCGGAATGTTTTGCTTGACTTTGTTTCCAATGAATAACTACGAGTTCTTTATGTATGTCATGAATGCATTGAAAAATTATTTGTTGATTTTAAGTTTTATGTAAATTAATTATAAAATATATTAATACTAAATTCACTTGAGGAATTTTATATAAATTATAATTAAAATTATTTTTAATAACAATTGTAAATAACAAATTTAATAATTTATGTTATCGTCTTAGGGGCCATTCAATAAGTACATACGCACGAGGTGGGGGGAGGGGGGTCAGGTCAAAAGCGTATGAAAGCGTATGTTATTTGGGGGAGGGGTCCAGTGAGAGTCGACGTACATTATGAAAGGGGTCATAGAGAGATTTTATGATTTTTTCCAAGGATTTAATTCATAAGAATGGTTTAAATCTTAATCTGTGATAAGGCTAGATAAAGACTTTTGACAAATATTTCATTAAACTTATGTTTGAATTCATATTTAGACTAAATTTGAGTGCAAAATGTGTTTTTTGAGTACAATTTTACAAAAATGAGAAATTGAGCAAATTTTGACAGATATTTTGTCACACGAACTGAGAAATCAATTAAAAGGTGATAATAGTAATTGTCCATGCATATTCGAAGTAAGCAACAGTAAGAAAAATTAAAAACTAATATAAAAAATTAATAAATTGGGGGGGTTGGCGAAAATGTACGTATGCTTTGGAGGGGGAGTATCGGTTCTGCATACGACTTGCAACAAAGGGGAGGAGGATCAATTTTTGAGCCCAATTTTGCGTACGTACTTATTGAATGGCCCCTAAAATGCTTTCCAATCACAACACCATTAATACACTCAACACTTATCACTATTTCCACTGTTTTTGGTCTAAATGTCAGTACAAGACTCGAAATGAATGTCACTTTAATAATTATAAATTAATTCATTTAAGAAAAATTAAAAACTAATATAAAAAATTAATAAATTTGAGGGGGGTTGGCGAAAATGTACGTATGCATTGGAGGGGGAGTATCGGTTCTGCGTACGACTTGCAACAAGGGGGAGGGGGTCAATTTTTGGGCCAAATTTTGCGTACCTACTTATTGAATGGCCCCTAGACAGAGTATTTGTCTAAACTGAAAAGCTCTTATCATTTAATACTAATCCTTACCGCTAACAGTGGACTATGCAAATAATTTTGAGTTTAAAGATTAGTATTAAATAAGAGCTGTTCAGTTTAGACAAATACTCTGTCTATGAAATAAAGGTTTAGATCAAACATTAGATACGCAATTTAGAGACTACTCACAAATCAGTCAACATTGTGGGCAGTGTGACAAACCGTCCTCTATAGGAGAGGACAGTCCTATATTTTTTTATTTGTCTTCTGAGTTTTAAGGGAGAAATAGTGGACATTGAATGTCCTTTATTTGTGAAAATTATGAAATACAGCATTTAGAAAAATAAGTGCATCATAACACTACTATATAAACTGTATTTTACATTATAATCACAATAAAAATACAATATCATTAACTAAATTATATTTAAGTGCAGCAAATATATTGGAAAATAAGTAAAATACCAATGACAAAACTTGTCAAAAAATGCTGTCAGCAGAAAACACATTTTCAACAAATTGTAATTCAATTACACTATTAAAAAATGTCCACTATTTGTCCTCTATTTATTCAAGTATTTTATCAAAATGTCCACTAATTACGAAACTTGAGTTGGTCACACTGAGTGTGGATGTACTGGTATTGCAAGCTCACTATTGGCTGCAAAAATTATTTAGAGCTTCAAATAAGCTATGATTTGAGCCAAAGCTGAATGTTCTAAACCACTGCTTAAGAAAAAATACCTAAACATTGAGATTGAGAACGTAGTCTAACATATAATCATTAAATTTAAAATAATTAATATCGATATTAAATATACAAAGCTAGACGTGTTTGCTCACATTTTGCAGGCCTTTCCTACGATGAGCTCATAGCCCAATGCGTGATGTTTTTAATCGGCGCCTATGAGAACACTTCGACCACTCTATCCCTGTGTATCTATAGTATTGCCAAACATCCGGAAGTCCAACAAAAACTATACGAAGAAATTCATGCATTTTCTTCGTACAAACAAAAGGTTTGCGATAATTTTAAATATATATATACCATAATTTAAAGGTTTATATATAATTTTAATTATTTCTTATTTGAATCTATTTGTGATAAAATATAAAACAGAAATCAAGTGCCGATTCGTACGAAAGGATAAACTCATTGAAATACATGGACGCAGTCATCGACGAAACCCTCCGACTATTCCCGCCCCTCCTGTTCCTGAATAGGGTGGCCACTGAAGATTACGAGCTAAAGAGCACCTGTATTACCATCAAAAAGGATCACGTGGTGCACATCCCAACCTACGCCATGCATAGAGACCCGGAATACTTTGCAGATCCGCAAGTGTTCAGACCGGAGAGGTTTTTATCGGAAAATATAGCCCACAATCCCTATACGTATATACCATGGGGTGCCGGCCCTCGAAACTGTCTGGGCACCCGATTGGCTCAGTTGGAGATTAAATTAGCCCTGGTCAATCTCGTACATCGTTATGTTTTCCACACAATAGACGTATTATTGTTGAAATTTCTATACATTTTAATAAGAAGCATTATAAACCATTGATAATTTTTGTACTTTTAGAAACCATTGGAGCAAAGTGTTTCCGGTGATCTAATTATAACGAAATCAGTGGATTTGAAAATTGAAAAGCGATTGTAATTTTTAAAAGTATCATTAGTGCCAATGAATTTCGGTTGTAGATGTATACAATTAATGCATTAAACAGGTTTTATATTAAAGTAAAGGGTGTTAAGTACAGATAAATTTTTATGTTATATTTTTAATCAATGTTCAACCTATGAACCCTAGCTATGGTCAGTATTAATTTTTGACACAGAACCTATTTTGGTTTGGTTTATGTACTGATTTTTGCATATAAATTGTATGATACAAACAATCTTATGACACCCTGTACTTTATTTTCAATAACAAATATTTTTGACCCGAAATTCATTGGTAATTTTTAAAAGTATCATATTGATTTACCATTAATTATTAGCAAACATTTTTTACCTTCAAATGAAATACATTTTAAACGAGTAACCTTGTTTAATGGTTATATTTATGTATAATAAAAGATACGGTCTTAATATTATTTACTCCAGGTCCACCCTATCCTACTTCGGGCCACCCAATTAATTAATCTTAATATTAAAATTAGTAATTAATGTTATAAGTCACACATTGATAAAATTATTTCAAAACAGCTGTTTACAATAAACTTAAACCTATATAAGTCAACGAATTGCTACAATTTCTAGTTTTGTTCTCTAACAACCTTGTTGAAATATTCTTGATATAAGAAAACTTACTTTTATGAAACATTATGTTATGATTTATATCTATTTGTATTTTGATAATTAAATAAAAGTTTAACCCATCAAATACAATGTGACATTTTATTTGTTTCACAAAAAAATTAAATTTATTTCTAACTAATTTGACAAATAATTTATTGTTAATTAATTAACTTATAATTTTTTACAAAAACCGACTTTTGACTTTTTCACTTTTTCTAACACTAATTTACAAACTTTCGGCACATATTCATTCCTAACATGTGCTGGAGTTGGAATATTATGTCCAGTTTCTTCACTTAAAAATCTCTTAAATGTAATATTATTCAGTTTTCCTATTGCAATGTCTGCTGACATGTATGCTAAAGTAAGACGCATTATAAAGTCTTTGACAATACCTTTGGGCGTTTGTTTGGTTTGTGTTTGTAGTATAGAATTCAAATTTTCAGTGGACTTACGCTTATTTGAATTATTTGTATTCTCAACATGTTTTTTGTTGTCCTTAAGATGTCTATTAACATTATTAGTTCCGTGTTTTAAATCAAAACATTCAAAATAATATTCACAAGGAATGCACTTTAACTTTCCTTTATGGATACAAAGATTGTCATTCTTTTTGCACAAATTATTCATTGAAATCAATAATCTGTCATTTTCAGTCACGTTATTATTATTATTATTAAAATTAATAAAACTTTGTGTAAATGGTGTATTCATTGTAAATGAAGTGTGAATTAAACTAATTAAATGATTTGAAGAATTTGTATCAAAGTTTACATAAAATTCAATTATTTGTCACAAAATGCGTGTTTTGTGTTTTGGGATTAAATGCGAAAATGCAGTGAATTTGTCGATGAATTGCAATTCAATTGATTTGAATTCATGTAAAATAAGTGATAAAATGCTTTCCAATCA